GGAGGTATGATGATGATGATGAGGCCAGACGCCGGCCCTGATTGGGTTTTTAAGGGAGTGAGGTGTGTGATTGTGTGTGGTTGTGAAAGGAGGAGGAGCAGGAGGAGGTCGGGGTCTATGCGTAGATCTCTGTGGTGGGGGCCTTCTTGTAGATGGGCTTCTTCGACAGATCGTAGCTGCCCTCGTCCTTTTTCTTCATGCGATAGATGAGGAAGAGGATGAGGAGGACGGCGAGCATCAGGCTGACGGCGAGGGCCGCGATCAGAGCTGGAAGAGAAAGTAAAGCGACAGATGAGACTTTTTAAGCTGTGACAGTGATTCCTACTCCTTCCACCCAGACAGGAGCCTCCTCCTGAAACGCCTCGTCAGCCCTACACTTTAGAAATCACGTCATCATGTACGAGCGCTACCACCTCTTGTTCTTAGTTCAAGGTTATCGCAGCTTAGGGAAATTTTCCTGCGTCTGATGTTTAAACCTTGGGCAGCATTTCTATCTTTGGACATTTAAAACTCAAAGTTAAGTTTTGGCCAATTCAAAGATGTTTGTAAGAGCTCGACTGACCTGCGAGGAACTCCGTCTTGCTCAGGAAGCTCTCGTTGCCGGTGTGGGACATGAGGACATTGGACAGGTTGTCTTCTCTGCGATCGTCGTTGCCCAGCACGGGGATCTCGTTCTTCTCGACGATCTCTATCTCGTTGACGGTTGGTCGCACCGGGCGCTCTGGCTCGGGGATCTTATTGTCGATAATGTCGAGCTGTAAACGAAGAGAAAAGAGTTGGTGAAGCCTCTGCAGCATGGCTGAGGGCTTAAGTATTTACACGCAGACGCTTCTCACCTTCACTGATGTCGTCTCGTCAGGTGACACGGTCGTGTCTGTGGAAAGAAGCAGATTCTTCATTTAATCTCACAGATTCTACGTGAACGTCAGAAATCGCTGCGCTGAGCGTTTCTCGTCGGGACCGACCTGCGTCACCAGATCCAGAGAAGTCGTTGTAGTCTTCATCGTCGTACGTGTAATCGTCGTCGTCGTCGTCTGTGAAGCCGAAGTCTGAGCCAATCGGGGTGACTCCGGACGCCTCCAGATCGCCGCCACGTGTCGTCGCGCCGGCAGCCTGCGAGCTCTTCATGGGCATCCATGTCTCCGTCTCCCTCACCTGCTGGGACATCAGACGGAGGCTCAGAGGGACTTTATCTCACTACCACTCCTTCGGTCTGATAGGCCGACACGCTTCCAGTTTCTCTGTAACTTTTTAGTCAAGCCTGCCCAATCAGGCCCCTTCAATCAGCCCAGTCGCCACGGTTACCATCCCTATCAAAGCTTAACATGGCGAGGGCACATCAGCCACATTTAATCACATTACAAGAGTTTATTTCAGTGACCATTTGCCCGCTAAGCTGCAGGAATGGGATTAACACCCCCTCCCCAAAGCCATCACCTAATCATTAACACACACACACACACACACACACACACACACACACACACAGGAAACAACATCCTGAATCAAAGCGAGACGGGACACGAGCCTGATGTGTTTTACAGCCCCGAACGCGACGCAGACGAGGAGGAACCCGTGTGATGTTTGCGTCCGATAGGAAGCAGCCAATCGAGTTTCCAGGAAAAGAAGAGTGGTGATTATGTTGTCGGGAAAAATGGAACAAGCTTTTATTTTCTGAGCTTTCCATTTAGCGAGAACAAAAGCCGACCACAAATCACACTGGAAAGCTTCCCGGATGTCCCACAAACATCCTCGTCCTCTCTCACAGATTGAGTCGCGCACGTCACGAGGCTCTTAATTACTTCCATCCCAGTCTTCATTTAAGGGTTAACCCGGCCCGCCCGGGGCCTCCCTGTTTGTGTTCTCGGCCGCTCGGCGTGGTAACGACGTGTTTGAAGGTAATCCTCTCAGCCGCTGCCTTTAAAAAGCAGAGAAGAAAGAGGGGAGGGGATGCCCCATTGTGCCTGCGCAGAGCTTTCAAACAAAGGCCGCCATTTTACCGCGACTCCTTAGCAACAAGGTGGGCTCGCGAGGACTCGCCGCTCCTGCTCCAATTTGTTTGGTTTCCTACACTTTCAGGCCTCCTTTGTGTGCGTTCCCTTGCACTTTACTCCATTTCTTCCCGTCTGAGCCCCTCTTTCCCGGCTTTCCTTACAGAGATGCATTTAAAAATCCAGGAGCAAACATCAAATTTGAAAGAGTACAACTTGTTGTTTTTTATGTTTTTATGCTTCGTGACAACAATCTTTGGGTTTGAGGGCAGCTGAACTGAACAGGACACTTAAATCATTTAAAAGTGCTTGAAAACATTCAGTCTGTGTCCTTGAAGCTGAAACGTCCAAACCGATAACAGCTGGAAACAGCTGCAGCTAAAGGTTTGTACTGCATCTATTTCCACACAAATTTGATCTTTTCTTCTCTCTTCGTGTCTTTTCATGTCCGCCCTGAAAGCTGTGGCGGTAAGTAGCCCGGCTGAGGATCGCTGCTCTATTATGTCCTCATTTAAAGCCCATACATGTGCAGCAGGGAGCCGCGATCCTGTATGTGTGCATTCATGCCTGCCTGCCTGCCTTTGTCAGTAATCCCGAGCCGTAAAGTGGTGACTGCTGGCTCTTCATTTCCTCGCAACCATTCACGGTCCTGCTCCAACACGTCCTCTGAGTCACATTAGAGGAATTACGCTCATTCAAGCCTCCGTGTGGACCCGTATGAGTCAGGCTGATTCAATCAGGTAAACCAGCAGGACTCACAGCCCTTCATTTTGTTATATTTGACATCATCCCCCCCGAGGCTCGTTTCACTTCGATTTGCGGTTACAGATGGTTTTAAAAGCCCAGAAAACCTGATTTCTCGGCTTCTTGCTACAAAAACACGTTTTCTTGCCTCACTCGAGGGATTTCAGTGATTTATTGGCGAGTTTTATGAGTTTAGTCACTGATTTTTCTCCTGTCAAACTTAAGGAACGTTAATGACCCGAACCTTAGTCTGTGGAGTGGGTGTGGGCCTTTTTCTAAACATGAACACTTTCTTCTCTTGCATTTTTCAAGTTCCACACAAACAAAAAAGTAAGAGTACGTTTTGTCCCTCCGTGTCCTGGGGTGTTGAAAACGCTCCCCTTCCAGGTTCCTCTGACCTTTAACCCCTGCGTGGTGCAACTTGGACGCTTGCGTCCCAGAGGGCTAAAAGAAAAGAAGTGCACGCCTCTCAGGCTGACTGAGGCCTGTCCCGGCAGGCCCGGCGCATTCGGGAGAACAGTAAAGATCAAAAGCTCGAGGCTTGCGTTACATAAGGCCTCCGATGTTACCGTCACATGTGCGACATATTCTACTTTTACTATAATTTCCCGGAGCTGGGACGAGGTTCAGGCCGAGTCCCAACAAAAACAACCACGGTGTTCCAAATCCAGGAAAAACAAACAGAGCCAAGGATGAGCGCCGGAAGTCTCAGTTTCTGTGAAAGCTGTCCAACGTCAGCCTGAAAACAGCTCGGCAGGGAACACAGCGTGCGCGCGTAAACATCTAAACCAGCACGGACCGGCAAACAGAGGACAGAGGAGCGCCCGAGCTGAGGTTACGTAACAAATCGACATGAAAATCAGCGCTCACTCATTTTACTGAGCGGTCCACTCAGTCACAGCCACACAGCACGTTACACTGTCAGCAGGCACACACTCATTTACTGTGTGAGTACATAACACACCTGACGCACTTTATATACCTGTAACTTAGTCTAGAAGAATAGACACAGTCTATTTGTTATATTTGAATCTATATCAGAAAAAACGTTTATTTCCTGTTCTTACTAATTTTTGGTTATTGTAGCCATTTTAAGGTTTGTTTTATTCATTTGAACTTTTTCCTTTTTGCTTGTTATTTTCATTTGAACTGCATCACTCTGCCACAGTGTCTGTTTCAAGGATTTACAGTTTTAAAGGTCCTGCGATACCTTTGTGATTTTTTCCTCTTCAAACAAACTTTCCGTTTCTCCACTTCCGCTCGTGTTAAAACTTAACCCTTTAAAACCGGTTGGAGCGGGCACGCTCTGTTTTGCGTAACTACTTTTAAATCCCGGTAGCTCTGCAACCAC